AATCTAGGTGGGCACCATCTCATCAGCTGCCAGTGCGGCTAGGATAAAGCAGGCAGAGGAACATGGAAGTTCCACTAGACTGACCTACATCTTTCTCCCGTGCTGGATGCTTCCTGCCCTCAAATATCAGACTCCAGGTCCTTCAGCTTTTGGACTCTTGGACCTTCGGCCATGGACTAAAGACTGCACTGTTGGCTTCCCTATTTTTGAGGTTTTGGGACTTGGACTGGCTTCCTTGCCCCTCAGCTTGCAGATGGCCTATAGTGGGACTTCATCTTGTGATTGTATGAATAAATACTCCTTAATAAACTCTCCTTTATATATACATCTATTCTGTTAGTTCTGTCCCTCTAGATAACCCTAATACAGTTGCCATCGGCATGTGGCATCTGGCCAGTCTGAATTCTGGGTTTGGGTTTAGGATGTGTTGGGACCAGGATCACGGGTCACAGTTTTGTGAGGACAGAAAGAGCCCTGGCAGTTATGGCTTCACAGTGGAGGTGTTAGGCACACAGGCCCCCGTTAAACAGTGGACACATTAAAAAAAAAAAAAAAGTCACATCTAGATCTTTGTCAGTCACCGAAAATAGGCGGTCCATGTGCCACACACCTGAAGAAGCTTGGCAGTCTACCTTTCTCTCGCTTTATTTGTCCTCCTCCATTTAGTTTAGAAGAAGCAATTCTTTTGTTTGTTTCATTTGTATGCTTCGTGCCTGTAACACCAAAGAATAACTATGACTAGGGCAGAAACGTATGTTTATAAGTGAGGAAAACTTCAGTGGTCTGTCAATGTATTTACCTAATAGGGAAAGCTGGCTTAGCTATGGATTTGCAAAAGTTATGTAGAAATAATATAAAGACAACATGGAGGAGTGCCACTCAACACAGGTGCCATGGTGTGGTTTACCAGGCATGGTGCAGTGCAGTGGTTAAAAAGGTGAACAAGGACCTGGCACGGTGGCTCAAGCCTGTAATCCCAGCACTTTGGGAGGCTGAGGCGGGTGGATCACGAGGTCAAGAGATCAAGACCATCCTGGTCAAAATGGTGAAACCCCATCTCTACTAAAGATACAAAAAATTAGCTGGGCATGGTGGCACATGCCTGTAATCCCAGCTACTCAGGAGACTGAGGCAGAATTGCCTGAACCCAGGAGGCGGAGGTTGCATTGAGCCGAGATCGCGCCATTGTACTCCAGCCTGGGTAACAAAAGCGATACTCCGTTTCAAAAAAAAAAAAAAAAAGTGAACAAAATAGTCTTGTTCTTCAGCAGCTCAGTCTACAGCAGTCTCTTCAGGAGGTCTGTGTTCAACCTTGGCTGGACAAGGTGGGTGGATCACCTGAGGTCAGGAGTTCCAGTTCAGTCAGGCCAACATGGCAAAACTGGAATCACTGGGGAGCTTAAAAAATATACACACACACACTGATATGCTGTTGGTGAGACTATAAAATGATGTAACTACTACGGAACACAATATGCTAGTTCCTCAAAAAAATTAAAAATAGAATTATCACATGATCTAGCAATTCCAATTCTGAATACATACCCAGAAGAATTGAAAGCATGGTCTCAAAGAACTATTTGTACACCTGTGTTCCTACAGCACTATTCACAATAGCCAAAAGGTGAAAGCATCCCAAGTGGCCATCAGTGGACCAAGGGATAAACAATGTGGCATATACGTACAATGGAATATTGACCAGCCAAATTCTAGCACCTGCTACAATGTGAATGAGGTCATTGTGCTAAGTGAAATAGTCAGAACAAGACAAACACTGTATGATTCCACTTATATGAGGTAATTAGAGTCGTCAAAATAGTATAGAGACATAAAGCAGAATAGTGGTTATCAGGGCTTGGGATGGGGAAAATGGGGAGTTATTGTTTAATGGGTACAGAGTTTCAATTCTGAAAAGTGTTCTGGAGGAGGATGGTGATGGTAGCACCACAGTGTCAACATGGTTAATGCTACTTAAACATTAAGATGGTAAATTTTATGTTCTGTATTTTTTTAAATATAGAATTTTAACTTTTTAAATAAATAATTAAACACACACACTCTGATACCTGGGTCCCACTCCTAAGAGAGTCTGATTTAATTGGCCTCAGGGCAGTGTGCATACGGGGTTTTTAAAACCTTCCAAGAGAGTCTAATGTGCAGCCTAGTTTTAGAACCACTGCTGTAGACTGTAAAAATCATGTATCTATCTACAGAGGAAGAACTAAATCTGGAGTTAGAATACCTGCATTCTTTTTCACTTAAAGCCACGTGAGTGCTTAAAACTTTGCTGAGTCTCAGTTTAGCCCTATATGTATAAATTGACATAGCATGCCCACCCCATGGTGTTGGTACTAGGATTCACTGGAGTTCTATATGTAAGAATTTTATACTTTAACAATTATACTTTAGAAATTATAAGCCATTATTAGGTGAAAGTAAATAACAAGTACAAGAGAGTGCTTTTCTCACTGCCATTCTGATGCCTTTATTTGACTCCCCTAAGTGAAACTAATCCTTTTCTTCTTCCCTCAAAAGTCGTATAGAACTTTGTTAGCTTTGTTATTGTAGCACCAACTCTGAATCAAAGTCATCTCTATATCTTTCAGCCACCACACAGATCTTGGATCCAGAAAGCAAAGCCATGACTGATTCATCACCCCAGGCCTCAGTGCCTAGCACACAGTGGGCATTCAATAAACATTTGCTAAATCTGGTTGAATTGAATTATTAAACAGCATGGAAACCTGATGCATTCAGTGTGTTTCAAACAATATGCCCCTGTTATCAGCAGCCTCACTACCCCAAAGACAAGCTTTATTTCTATAGATAAGATGCATATGCACAGAGCAAGAATGGTGGCCCCAAAAACAAAGAGATGCTGTAATACATACATGCGCTCACAGTCCAAAGGCCCTACTGTTCCCCACACCCAAGCCACTCAACCATACCCTTCTACTTTGGTGCAGATATTAGTGCTGTCATTATGAACCTGAGGAGTTGGCCAATATGAGACTAAAATAATGGTACATTTTTGTAAAAGGTAAAGATTCTTGAGTCTTTACGTGATATTAAAGCAATGAGCTAGGCCAGTGCTCCCAACACACAAGACCACACAACGTTAAAAGGCATTGGTTGAAGAATATAAGAGCTCAGAAGGAGCTCAGAAGGAGCTAACCCAGATGTGTAAGAAACACAGGTAATGTATAATTTCATGTGGCCCTCCATAAACTCCAGCCAGGAAAAGCAATTTGGGAACAGATGGGGGAAAGAAATTACTATTTCTTGAGTGACTGTTATATGGTAGGCCCTTTATCATCTCATTACTTTCTCACAACACCTATGTTAGATAGTAATATATTCAGCTACAAATAACAGAAACACTAACTTGAAGGGACTTGAAGAAAAAGAACTTATTTTTCTCACATATATTTTTAAAAGTCTGGCTGGACATGGTGGCTCACACCTATAATTCCAACACTTTGAAAGGACGAGGTGGGTGGATCACCTGAGGACAAGAGTCTGAGTCCAGCCAAGCCAAGATGGCAAAACCCTGTCTGTAACAACAAATACAAAAATTAGCTGGGCATGGTGGTACATGCCTGTAGTTGTAGCTACTCAGGAGGCTGAGGCAGGAGGATCACTTGAATCCAGAAGATCAAGGTGGCAGCAAGCTATGATCATGCCACTGCACTCCAACCTGGGCAACAGAGTGAGACCCTGTCTCAAACAAAAAGAATTATTTTTTTTTAATCTGAAGGTAGGAGCTGCTAGCCTTGGCTCTGGACTCTTTTGGCCTTTTCCTTATGTCTACTGCCTCTTAGTCACAAGATGGGAGCACTAGCTCTTTTATTTTTATTTATTTTTATTTTTTTTTTGAGACAGAGTCTCACTCTGTCACCCAGGCTGGAGTGCATGGCACGATCTTGGCTCACTGCAGCCTCTACCTCCTGGGTTCAAGCAATTGTCCTGCCTCAGTCTCCCAAGTAGCTGGGACTACAGGCGCACGCCACCACGCCCAGCTGATTTTTGTATTTTTTTTTTAGTAGAAACAGGGTTTCACCATATTGGACAGGCTGGTCTCGAACTCCTGACCTCATGATCCCCCCACCTCGGCCTCCCAAAGTGCTGGGATTACAAGCGTGAGCCCGTTCTCAGCCTTGTGCAAGACAAGAAAAAGGGGAAGGGGCCGCACCACTGCACATGTTCTTCCTTCCCTTTTATAAATGAAGAAAGCAAATGCTTTCCCAGAAAGGCACTTCCACTGATTTCTGCTTTTGTTCTTCTCTAAAGGCTAAAATGGGGATTCTTGTGCAAGTGACTTAGTGAGGGATGCTTTCTGTAAAACTTTTAAGGGAGTAAAGAGAGAAGTACTGGGCAGAAGACAGAAGCTAGGCAGAGATGTGGGTTCGGCCAAACTCTTAGCTTAGCCTGATCCCACTACAGAGCTATCCTATATTGAGGCAACGGGTTCTGGCAAATCCCCATGCCAATCAGTCCTTGGCTGCAGGCTGTGTAAGTGTGTTACATAGCCTCCTAGTCATTTCCAAGCAAGAAGGCTCCCTCAGCTGAGGGCAAATCATAGCAGCCGAGGGATGAGCATACTGTCCCAGTCAAGAAGAGCTAAACAGGCCAGCAATAGCATCTTTTATAATCTCAAGGTCCAAAACTAGGTCACATGGCTGCCTCTGGGTACAACAATGTTGGGAAAGTAAACATTTGGCTTTTCAACCTCTACAGTGGAATATGAATGACTCTTAATGTTGACTGGATGTCCAATGAACAGTGTCTTCCAAAACCACTCCCAAGATCAGCTTCTTATTTGTTAAGGAGGAAAAGCTTTCCCCTATTTCTATGTTTTCTTTCCTGTAAATGCAGTTCCACTAGAACAGTAGTTATCAAACTTCTTGATCTCAGGACCTAAACTCTCAAACATTATTGATGATCCCGAAAAAGTTTCTGTTTATGTGGGTTTTATCTATGGCTATTTACCACATTAGAAGTTAAAATGGAAAAATTTTAAATATTTATTTGCTAATTCATTTGTAAATAAGAAATCCATTAAATATTAACATATTTTTATAAAAACAAATATATTTTCCAAAATTTAAAAAAAGAGCACAGTTGTCTTATATTTTTACAACTTTAATGTCTGGCTTAATTAGAGACAGATTTTCATAACTGCTTCCACATTCACTTTGTTTTCTAAAAGATTGTTTTGATTGAAGTATATGAAGCAAATCCAGCCCCACACAAATATACAGTTGGAAAAGGGAGGAATATTTTAAAACTTTCAGATAATTATGGATATTATGGTTTGATACACATCAAAACTCAACAAGTGATAGTTTCTTAAAGGTTAATTGTAATATTGATATGAAACCATCTCAATGGTTACATTTAAATCCTCTAATCTCTGTTGCAGTTTGAACAGCTCTTTGTAACATTAGGCATTGAATATCTGGAGAGTTTTAGTTCACTGACACAAGCAGATCTTCCAAATGTTACCATATTTCATTTTCATTATACAGTATGCAAAAGCTGCATTCATTAATATCACCGCCAATATCCTCAGGAACATCTTTAAGTATTGGAAAGCTGTCAAGCCTATGGTAGTGGATATAAGTTTTGTAAAACTGGAATTTTTGCTTGTAAGCACAAATTTTATTATTAGCAACAGATACTGTCAGTTGTTTACCTTGAAATGACAGTCACTTTGTTAAAGAAAACGTCAGGCAAATGCCCAAGTTTGAATAATCATGGTTTGTTGTTCAATCATTCTTTCAAGTAAAATGGTGCCTGGAGGGAAAATTTAGTTGAGTCACACAACAGCACTAGTGCATTTTTCCTCTGAACAATCGCTGTGTTTTATGATGCAGAAGAAAGACATTCAGCAGCGGAATAAAATTAACAGTGTTCATCAAGGATATTCCTCAATAAAACTCTGGTTTTTTGTTTTTTTTCCTGAGTATATGGTGGTAAAGAAAACAATAACTAGTCCAGTTTTTTGTGCCTTGGTTCACAGCAAGGCACAAGCAGTTTAACCCATCTTTATTTTTGTACCATCAATGCAAATGTCAACACAATGAAAAAGGCAAATTTAACATCTTATCATTATTATAAATACTATTTTGAACCTGCTGAAAGGAGGTGAAAGGGTCTTGGGGACCTCTCCCAGTGGTTTCAGTACTTTTAAGAACATTTTAAGAACCTTTGTAAGATTCACTTCGACTTCCTATCAATTGGCTTCCAAGGGGAAAAGGAAGCTAAACTATGCATGCCCGCTCTCTTTTGCGATCTCAACAATCAGAATTCCTTTTCCCTCCCCTCTAGAAAAGTAAATTAGGGTTACTATCAGTACTGAAAATCCTCTCAGTTTATCATTTACAATACCTTGCTAATAGTTTTTTAAATCACGAAGTTTAAAGCTGCTTAAAGCAGTCACCCTGGGCCAGGAGGGGATGCCTGATCCACTCTTAGCAATTGCTCTTCTCTGGGAATCTGACACAGGTATAAGTCAATCTTGTCCCCCAAAACAGGACATACTTGCCTTAGAGTTGCCTAACCAATAGGTCTAGGGAAGTAGTCCCTCCTGGAGCAGAGAAGGACTGCCCTGGGGCAGTTGCCTTCTTGGCACTATGTCTCCATCTTCTGGAACCAGCATCGGAATTCAGTTTTGACCAATCAACCCCATGCTAGGTAGTTATGGTGAAACTGTTGAGCAAAGTGCACTTCCTCCCCTGTGTGAACAAGAGACCCAAGCTGAAAAATTAGACCATCTTTCTTCTGAACAAGAGACCCAAGATGAAAAATCAGGCCATCTTTCCTCTAATCTGAATCTTGAGCTATGCGACTTGGAGGCTGAAAATGAATGATCATTCATTCTAAAAGCAGCCCCAAAGAGGCTGTCTGGTAGCTCTTGCCATCTAATTCCTAGTTCTGTCATAGACCATAGTTTATTCACTTTTATTACTGTTCCTTGAGACATCCCATATCCACCCAATAAAATCCCTTTTGCTAACATCAGCCAAAATCTGTTTCTGTTGCTTGCACCAAATGACTCTAATTGATATAGCCCCAAAGACAAGTTGTATGTTCTATCCTAGAAGACACAAACTGCTTACAATTCCCCAAATGACAATTTTTCAGGCTTGAAAATGTTAAGATCCACCAGGCACCCATTATATTTCTTTGAGTCTCAGGATCTAGGGTCTAGGGTTTGCGCATGTTTTTACTGCTTCTGCATTCATTTCCATACCGCCTACCATCAAGCCACAGTGGGAAGTCTTTCCACAGCCATTTCCTGAGGAAGCCATGTTATTTCTGAGACCTGAGATTTAACTTTTTAATTATTATTTGATAGGCCAGGTGCAGTGGCTCATGTCTGTAATTCCAACATTTTAGGAGGCTTTAGCAGGAGGACTGCATGAGCCCAGGAGTTCAAAATCAGCCGGGGCAAGATAATGAGACTCTGTCTCAAAAAAAAAAAATAAGAAAAAAAGAATAGTAATTATTATTTGATAGAGGAAACATGGTTTGCTGGATTTTCATATCATGCTTTTAGCGCAGGGTATGCTGGGAAAATGAGAATTTATGCATTGATGCCACGGAAGACTGAGGCCAAAAAAATCCACTAGGTTAGTTAAGTATCATGGAAAGCACCAGCCAGAGAAGCCTCAGATGTGACACTCCCATTAAACTATGATTCTGATTGTGCTAGCCAGTCTTTGTGTATGTAATGTCTTTGATGACCCTCCACAGTTAGCATTATTAAGCTTCTTATCACTGAACAGAGATTGGAAATATACTATATGAAGTTCAAGGCCAGGAGCCTATATGCTGGGGTCACAAACTCAGATAGGTGAAGGATCAGGCATGTAGCAAAATAAAAATGGCAGACTGGTGGGATCAGTGACCAAACTGAAGAGCTCATGCCTTCTTTTAAGGGAGGAGGCCAATACTCCACTCCTCAGATAGTTGGAAGCTGCCAATACAAAGGAATTGTGGGCTGGATTTGACCTGTGGGCACCCAGTTTATAATCACTGGTCTAAAAGGTATCTGGAAAGAACAAACATGATACTACATTTATTCAACTAAACTCCAGGTGTAATTGTGTGCCTTGTCAACACTTTCCCTCATTCAATGCTCATAGTAGCCCCACCACATGGGTTTAAATACCTAATTTTTCACTTGTAAGAAAAACAAGGTTCAGACATCTCAAATGCCTACCTGCTATGGTTTGGCTGTTTCTCCACCCAAATCTCATCTTTAACTGTAGTTCCCATAATCCCCACATGTGGTGGGAGGGATCCAGTGGGAGGTAACTGAATCATGGGGGCAGTTACCTCCATGCTCTTCTCATGATAATGAGTGAGTTCTCATGAGATCTGATGGTTTTATAAGGGTCTTTCCCCCAGCTTCACTCTGCACTTCTTCTTGCTGCCGCCATGTGAAGGACATGTTTGCTTCCCCTTCCACCATGATTGTAAGTTTTATGAGGTCTCCCCAGCCCTGTGGAACTGTGAGTCAACTAAACCTCTTTCCTTTTTAAATTACCCAGTCCTGAATGTGTCGTGTAAAAACAGACTAATACACTACCTGATGTTACATAGCCAATAAGTGATTTTATATGACTATTCTCGGGTGTTTCTAAAGCCCTTGTTTCTTCCATCATAAACCAATGGCCTAAATGTCTACATTGTACAAGTTGATTTTTTTCGACCTAGAAAACTTTTTTAAAAGTTTAAATTCATTAAAAACATTCAATTATCAAGAATTGTCACACAAAAATCTGGATTTCCAGCTTTGGGGGAAGATAAAATATTGAGTTCTCTAGCAACTCTGTAAATGGTGGAATATCTGTCAGTCTTGGATGTATAATTCCCATTGGCACATCCACAGAAGCTGGGTGGTGGCCTTCCCCCTTCAGTGGGGCCAGGCTTGCCCTATCACATCCTACTGACTCACATCAGCCGGTTTCATGCCTGACTTTACTTGCCTAGTCCTCGTGGATATTTCAGTTTGTCCCCTTCCTGCCTCTGTCCAGCATGTGTTTGCATCCTAGACAAAAGGAAGCTACTGCATTATCTTTTAGCATCCCTGGGCAGAATGTCTGGGAACTGTTATGAAGCATATACTGTCAAATGAAGCACAGAAAATTTTCCAGTGGGGTTTGTCTGAATTATGTGCCTGCAGCAATATTTAGGATTTGAATACTACATAAATCAAGGTATTTGAAATCAGTATGTTTTTTCCTTTTGCTTTCTGAACAAAAAGGAATGTACATCTTTATTCAGGCTTTAGTCTTACAAATAGCCATTTACTACAAGCCTCACTGAAGGAGGCACAGAACCAAACTGGTAGCTTTTTTTTGAACTTGAAGCCAAGTCAGAAATCTGCCACTCTAGCACTTGTCAACTTCGAGCAAGCAAAACCAATATCCTGTCTGTTTGCCAATCACAGATTCTAAAAGCTAACAAAGTCACCTCAAATCATGTCTAATATCCCAAAGTTGAGCCTTAAAGTACCAAGGATCATTTTGATCTGCACAAAATGTGCATTTTGGGCTTATAGGCAAAAAGAAAGGAAAGAAAAAAAAAATATATATATATATATACACACACACACGTGTAAATACACAGGCACACATATATAAAAACATACAAATGTTATCAAATAAAATAATTCACTAATGACTGGTTTTGCCTCATTTTTCCAAAGTCTTTCTCGACTAATCCAATCTCGCCCTTACACCACTTCTCAACAGTCATGTATTCAGTCTGCATTATGTTATTTTATACATGTGGATGTGTTAGCTCTTAGAATTGAATTGTGGAACATAAGTGCTAAAGGGAACTGAAAGAATCATTCAATCTAAGCCTTTCATTTTATGGACGAAGAAACTGAAACCCAGAAAACTTAAATGATTGCCCAAGGTCACAAAAACAGCTGAGAAAGGGCACATTTGACCCCATTCCATGGTCTTTACACTCCAATGTGCATCTGTTTATTATGTAACCTCCCAAATATACTCTTAAATGGAGTGGTCTGGTTATTATGTCTGTAATTTACTTTTAAATACTTTAGCTCAGATAGTGTGACGTAAATGTATGTGTTTGCTAGTCTTTATACTCCAGGGACAGTTGGTTGCCCTAATCAAGAATTCACAGCTAGCATTTAATCAAAATGCCACACACCAGAGAGGGCTATCACAAGGCTTTAGCTACCTTCAATCAACAACAGAGGCTCTGCTAATTATAATAAATGCTATTAATAGGGTTTTATAGGTGAAATTAGTGACTTGTTAATTAGCATAATGGATACTATTGTAGCCATTGGTGAAACTAGTACAGTTCAAGATAAAATGTTTTTAGAGATACTCCCCATCTTATCACAATTAGGATGAGTCCTTCACCTTTGCCTGTAAGAATGGCAGACAGGGCTAGAATAACAAATGATTCTATGTCCAGTCCTATTTCAGAGGTTTCTGGTTGGCTGGTACAACTGTAGAGTTAGCTGAATCTTGCCTCTAGCTGGTGTATCTGCCACGATGAATCCTTTATATGTGGTATGGTTAGAGCCCCTAAAGAAAAGAGGTCTGGGACTTCCCAAGATTATAAAACAGGTTTTATGAACTGTTCCTGAGCCTACTTTTTAATACATGCTTATTTAATAAATGTCTATATGTATGTAGAATTTGGCTGACAATTCACTTTTAATATAAACCAGTTGTGAAACTGTCAAGAAATATTCACCGTCACTTACCTCTAAGATTGATGGCTATTGACACCTACCAGAAAGATTCTAATACTTGTGAATTACTATTATGAGTTTAATTGTGTCCCTGAAAATTTTGCATGTTGAAGTCCTAACTCCCAGTACCTCAGAATGTGATCCTATTTGGAAACAGAATCTTTGCAGAGATAATCAAGTTAAAATGAGGTCGTTTTTAGAGGCAGTGACACAGGAAGCATTCCAGGTGAACATGAAGGCAGAGGCGAGCTGTTGTGTTTACAAGTCAAGGAACACAAAGATTGCTGGCAAACCATCAGGAGCAAGGGGAGAGGCAGGGAACAGATTCCCTCTCACAGCCCTTAGAAGGAGCCAACCTTTGCCAACACCATGACCTGGACTTCCAGCACCCAGAACTGCAAGACAACTAACTGTAGCACTGCTGTTTTAAGTCACCCACTTTGTGGTACTTTTTTACGGTATTTCCAGCAAACTAATATAATAAACAAATGGGCTGAGGTCTGTTTGCAAAATTGCTTCAATAATTGTTGGAACTGATATGTCCAGTATCACAACAGTCACAAATAAGTACTGTGTAATTCCCAAACATTTAATTGCATAAAATTGTACCTGTGCTTAAAAATTTATCCAACAAACTTTAGAATGGAAGGATGAGGCCAACACTACCTGAGCCCATGGTCAATGCCCCAAACACATCTTTAGTCAATTCCATTGTGTTCATTGCCTCACTACAAGAAGAGAAAATATAAGCCAAAGGGAGCCAGGGACATCTCAACAGGGTGTTAGCAAGGACTCATAAGGTCTGGGCTTGTGGAAATGATTTGGGGAAAATTTTAAGGAAATAGAACTTTGCTGCAGGAAGCAGGGGTGAGTCCATAATTGGATATGTTAATGATTCTCATCTAAAAAGGCAGAAAGAACAAAGTAAAGTTAAAGCTGTAAATGGTAAAGAAGCCACTGCCATTTATATTAGCCAAGAAAGGGAGGTGTTCAGTGGTTTGGACAATGTACTTCTTTGTACATGCGCTCAGACATGGTTATGGTGTTGTCTTGTTTCACCTTGCTCCATTAGTCACAGTTTGGTCCTGCGTTATGCTGGTATTCTGTGAATTTGGTGATGTTCAACAGAACACTAAGGTCTTAGCTATGAGTTCCAGGTCAGCTTTTCTCTTTCTCACCAGAGCAATCGTAACATCCCTACCAGTAGGACAACTGGATATTATGCACGCCCAGATGGAATGCAAAGAGAAGTATACCACATCAGCATGAAAGTTCCCTTGTTAAAAAAGAAAAAAGTGGAATCTGAATCTAACGAAAACTTCAGCACTGTCCAACACAAATATAAGCTACATATGTAATTAAAAATTTTTCAGTAACCACATTTAAAAAGTAAAAATGAGGAGGAAAAACTAATTTTTAAATATATTTTTAGGTAATACATCCAAAATATTTTAATATGTAATCAATACAAAAATATTAATACAATATTCTTCTATTCTTTTCATAGTCTGAATTCTGGTTGTATATTTTACATTCGTAGCACATTTCAATTCATACTAACCACATTTGAAGTGCTCAGTAGCCACATGTGACTAGGGACTACCACACAAGCAGTGCAGATCTATACCTAACTCCCAGTGTAGTGGAAATATGAGAGCTAGAGGAACGCTTATCTCCATCAAAGGATACAATTAGCTTAATCTAAAATTTGTGAAATTCTATGTGAAGGACGTAGTTTCTCCAACAAATAAATGATAAGGAAGAATAAAAGGAAGGAGAAACTTTTATAGATTAAAAGCTTTTTTTTTGAGACGGAGTTTCACTCTTGCCACCCAGTTTCACTCTGTAGTGGCACAATCTTGGCTCAGTGCAACTGAGGATCAAGCGATTCTCCTGCCTCAGCCTCCCGAGTAGTTGGAATTACAAGCATCCACCACCAAGCCCAGCTAACTTTTGTATTTTTAGTAGAGATGGGGTTTCACCATGTTGGTCAGGCTGGTCTCAAACTCCTGACTTCAGGTGATCCACCTGCCTCAGCCTTTCAAAGTGCTGAGATTACAAGCATGAGCCACCTCGCCTGGCCAAAAGATTTTTTTTTTTTTGAGACGGAGTTTCGCTCTTGTTTCCCAGGCTGGAATGCAATGGCACGATCTTGGCTCACCGCAACCTCCACCTCCTGGGTTCAGGCAATTATCCTGCCTCAGCCTCCTGAGTATCTGGGATTACAGGCACGCACCACCATGACCAGCTAATTTGTTCTATTTTTAGTAGAGACGGGGTTTCACCATGTTGACCAGGATGATCTCGATCTCTTGACCTCGTGATCCACCCGCCTCAGCCTCCCGTGAGCCACCGTGCCCGGCGTTTGTTACAACTTTTCTATTGTAAGTGACAGACCCCAACTCTTTCTGGCCTGAGAAACCAAAATGGAGGGAGGATTCGTATCAGGTCTGGTCTTTTGAGCTAATAAGTCAGCCTGAAACTATTTCATAGATGCTGCCAGAGGACACACAACTTCTGAATCAGATACAAAGAACTGTGTTACTCATGGTACAACAATGATGGCACAACATCATAAGCATCAGCGTATTTACATTGATTCCCTTGAACCCAGTGATGGCAGCATTGGACTCTCCAGAGTGGCCCCCGGGAAGACACTGCCTGTGGCAGGGGAGGCACAGCCAAGGCTGCGTGCTCTGCAGGGCCAGCAGGAGCCAGGAACAAGAAGGAGCCCCACCCCCTACTAAGTTGGCAGGGTAGGAACCCCACATTCCTGGGCACAGCTGCAGCTGCCTAGCCACAGCTCCAGAACCAGGCATCCCTGCACTCTAGGGGGTCCGGGAAGCCCCGCTGCCCCTGCTGGTTTACAAAAGCCTGCTACTGCTCCCTGGCTTTTCCCTGCTCCTGGTGCCTGCTCCAATTTCAGAGCAAAGTTGAAGCTGAGCCCAGGTGCGATTTTGACCCACCTGGGTGTGCATGCACTGGAGGGAGCGCTGACATGCCAGCATTCCCCCTTCCCCTTCCCATCACCTTGGCCCCCTCTGAAATTTTGGGCACCAACGAGCTCAGGGAGACCAAGGGGTGCTGAGAGTGGCTCCATGTGGGCCTGTAGATGTCCCTTGGCACAAACATCCTGGGTGCCATGGATGACATGTTGATGGCAGGAGACAGGTTCCTGGGCAGGAAGGGGACAGATCCCTGGTGAAACCCCATCTTTGAGCCAGGGACAGCCTGAAGCCTAGGGGCTGAGCTGCCAGTTCCAAGTAGAGTTCAAGGCCCGGCGTGAGAACTTGTTTTTCCGGGCTGCCCATGGCCGCCCATGGACCAATCAGCATGCACTTCCTCCCTTTTGGGCCTGTAAAAAAGCCAGACTCACACAGACAACAGGACTACCAGCTGTGGAAAGGAGCTACCCACTGCAGGTCTCCTCTGAGCTGTTCTGTTGCTCAGTGAAGCTCCTTTCCATCTTGCTCACCCTCCAGTTGTTCAGTATCTCATTCTTCCTGGACATGAGACAAGAACTCAGGACCTGCTGAATGGCAGGACTCAAAGTGCTGTGACACAAACAAGGCTAAAACACAAGCCCCTGCTCGCCACACTGTGGGCAATGAGAAAGAAAAAAGAGCAGCAGCCTTTTGGGGAGCCCAGATTTAGGGCATCCCTGAGCAGGGCATGGACACCTTCTTTGGGGCTTTATGGTTCCTGGCATCTCCAAGCTACTGAGCACCACCAAGCTCCCCTCATCCAGACACAGGTGCTGCAGCCAAAGGTGTGCAGTACATCTGGTTCAGCCGCAGCCTCACACAAAGCTGGCATCCATGCTAGTGCCTGGAAGTGCCCACCCCACCACAGCAGCCAGCACGCCTAGCTGTGCATAGTGACCTGACCCCACACTCATTCACCCACACACCCCTCACTGCTCCATACCTGGCTTGCCCTTGGCAGGTATGGGATCCAGGCTGGTAGCACAAGCTGAACACAGCCTGCCAGGCTGAGTGGGTAGAATGAGCCAAGAGGACACAAGCAATACTCAGGCATAAGGCACTGCCAGGCACAGAGGTTTCCAGCTGGCAAAGTGACAGCCCATGGATGCTGTGACACCATGTCCTTCCAGGGTGGCACAATATGGCTCAGATGGATGCTTTGCACATAGTTATATTTACATTGCAACCAAAGAACATTGAGCTTAGGAAATCCATCCCTTTTCTAGCAAGCAATTATCTCCTGGATCACTTTTGCTTTCCTGATCTGTGGCCAAGGGTAGACTGTTCTAGTTAGCCAGGGTCAGAGCAGCTTTGTACAGTTGCACAGGTTGTGTAATATACAAAGCACCACATGGAAAGAGGCACCATTCACACCATATATGTCATAGATCTGTATATGAAATACAACAATTTCCAACAGATAAAGGTAAAGGATCCTGAGGAAGGTGCTGCATGGGTGGCCCTGGCCAGTGTTATGTGTCCATTTTCTAGCTGTGAGGCAAAGTCAGTCCTACCCAAATCACACAATATAGTTCTCCAAAGTAATACCAAAGAATGTTAATCAAGAGTGGGAATGGGCCAGGCACGGTGGCCCACGCCTGTAATCCCAGCACTCTGGGAGGCCAAGGTGGGCTGATCACTTGAGGCCAAGAGTTCGAGACCAGCCTTCCAACACGGTGAAGCCCCATCTCTACCAAAAATACAAAAATTAGCCGGGAATGGTGGTGTGCACCTGTAGTCCCAGCTACTTGGGTGGCTGAGACACAAGAATCATGTGAACCTGGAAGGCAAAGGTTATGGTGAACCAAGATCATGCCACTGCACTCCAGGCTAGGTGACAGAGCAAGGCTCTGTTTTCAAAAGAAAAAAAAGAGTGGGAATGGATACTGGACAGACAAAGCCACAGATGCCCATTATCCACCAGTACTATTACTGCCATTTTCCAGATGAAGATACTGAGATTCTGCAGTTAAGAAAATTGCCCAAGTCCCATAAACGACAGCAAGGGACAGACTCAAACCCAAGTCTAAATTAGCCAGGTGGGGTTGTGTGTACCTACAGCCACAGCCACTTGGGAGGCTAAAGCAGGAGGATCGCCTGAGCTCAGGATATCAAAGCAATAGTGAACCCTGATTGGGTCACTGCACTCCAGGCTGAAAAACAGCAAGATCCGTTCTCAAAAATGATAATTATAATGACCAAGTCTATGTGATTCCCAAACACACTCAGTTTCCATTTTAGACATCCGTATTCCCTGTTGTAACGAGTCAAGTCTAAACTTATCTCTTTGTTGTTCAAATCCTTCTGATGAATGTTCCCACTTTTCCACCTAATCTCACCTCTCAGCATTCAAAATGGAATCCACCTTGAGGACCGTCTACTGCCCTCATGCGCTCCTTTTAGGAACCTATGATCCTTCTCTTCCTCTCATTTGAAATAAGCATTCTCTCTAAAACTCAAAGCTGTATGATCCCTTAAAATCAAGATCAATACATCCATCATAAACTCCAAATTCTTTCCATAAAATCAAAGATTTTACATTTGTTTGAAGTAACCCCAACTTACCATTTAATTTCCCCAACGAGGCGTAAGTGCCAAGAAGCCAGAGGTCACATCTTTCCTTAAAACACGTAATAGGCTGGGTGTGGTGACTCGTGCCTGCAATCCGAGGATTTTGAGAGGCTGAAGCGGAAGGATCACTTGAACCCAGGAGTTCGATACCAATGTGGGCAAAATAGCCAGACCTTGTCTCTACAAAAAGTTTAAAATAAATAGCCTAGTGTGGTGGCGCGGGTGCCTGTGGTAACAGCAACTCAAGAGGCAAAGGCAAGAGAATCGCTTAAGCCCAGGAGTTTGAGGTTGCAGTGAGCTATGTATCATGCCACTGCACTCCATCCTGGGCTACCGAGTGAGACTCTGTCTCAAAAAACAACCAACCACACATAATAGGCAACTTTTGTAGTATCTGGTCAGTCCTAAACTGCTCCTGTCAGAATTCCTCTCACCCACCCACAAGGGTGGACATGCGGCAACCATGTTTGCAGCCAGTGAGCCTGTCTGTGTGGCCTTAGCTTAATGGATTGGGAATAGTGACCTGATCTAAACTGTCCAATCAGATTCTCTCTCCTGAGATTTGAGCTTAAATCTGAGATTTGGCAGTGCCTCACCCCTCAGGAGAGGCAGCTGAAACACAGGATGATAAACTCAAAATTTGCAGGCTGGCTACCTGTGACCTCATGCTCTGGAAAGCAGTAAGAGCTAGTTTGCAGAAAGAGGAAGGGTTAAATAGACTCTGACAAATAATCGGAGATAACAAGTTGCCTGTTTCCTGGAGGTTTGCACCTTCTGATTCTGGGGGTCTCAGATCTGTGGGCACTGCCTACCCTTGTTTTCCATGAGCCCCCCCTGAAGCAGTCTGAAAACAGTGCAACTAGTCCAAGGCTGGGCATACTGTGAACATTTTCACACTTGATGAGTTCCCCAATAAGGTAAATGGTTTGCATCTTACTACTCAACGCTATGGCACTCATTACACGGTAGATCAGCTATTCATTTGCCAGAGTTATTTATGTCTGTGCTGCGGAGGCAGTGAAACGGGCTGGAGGAGGGAAGGCTGGTGAGGTGGTGGAAGGCAGAGTTCCCAGGTGACTTGTGTAGGCCCTTGGTGAAGGCAGGGGCAGCAGGGATGGCGTGGTGCGCCAGGTGTGCAGGATGCGCTGAATTAGGCTGAGCTGGAGGGAAGTGAACTCCACTCCTGGAGAACATTTCCTGGAGTCCAAGCGGGCAAATGGGGCAATAACAGGGCCACTCACCAAGTCAGAGAAGACAGAAGGGGAAGAAGCAGCTTTTCTACTTTTTTTGGGAATTTCTATAGCACAGACAGCTGGAGGAACCAATTTTAAAAACACCTGCTTTCCATTATGGAGTCAGATTCTCCCTTTTATTACCATCTCTTTTCTTGGACTCAATGACAGTAGGTTATTGGATTTTTAATCTGACCAAATTAATGTCAAAGGAAAGGAATGTATTATTTGAGGCCTCGAGGTTATAGCAATTTTGCTGTTTCTCAGTGATCCACATTCTGTGTTGGGTTGGGCTGGTATGAATGAGGCTCTCTGGGGGTCAGACCTAGAGATGTGGGGATGGAGAATAGAGAGATTATTCCGGACGCTCTCCCTTCTGCCTTTCTTCCCTTCTCACTAAGGGATCGAGATCTAAGAACAAACAGTCCTGGGAGAAATGTTGTGTATGCAACTCTGCCTCCATAGCGGGTTCAGAAAGGAGGCCAGTGGGGATCCAAGGATGGCTCCTAAAGGAGAGAGGACAGAAGACTCCCCCAGGTGGGAAGGTTTCAGGAGCTCTGCACCTTCACGTCTGTGCTCCCCTGTCTCTGAACTGCAGTCTCCACCCCCTCCTTTGGCTGTCACATTCCTACTCTTGCTTTTCCTTGATGTCTTCCTCACACTTGCCCAGGAAGTGCTAAACTTCACCCTCCTCTCTTTTCCCAACTCTATTGTGGTGTTTATCACACTGTATTAGATTTTCAAAATGATGTCTGGCAGGACCACCAACTGGTTAAGAGCATGGTCACTGCAGTTAAACAGCCTGGATCCAAATCATGGTTCTGCCACTCACCAGTGCGATAACCTGCTTTCTGCCAGCTAAAACTAACTCTCCCTTTCCCAGACTAAAAGCTGGGTCAGGCTGACACTGGGCACCCAGGAATGCGTTTGTTGATAAGAGGCTGAGTGAAGTGGTGTCAGCAGAGCCTGGAAATGCAGGTGCAGGGAGCGCCCAGAGCCCCCATTATCTATAAGTTGTATGCCTCTCATGACAGCTTTACCCCTCACACCTGGCACTGCTTTATTTCTTATATATCAGTTTATCTTTTAACTTTTTGCTTACTCTGCTTTTGTAAAAACTTTACTTTAGCAAGGTTCCCCCTCCCTGTTAAAACTAGTGTATAAAAAACCACCTAACTTTTTCTTCGGGGCCAAAAAAATTTGGGGCATTAGCCACTCTTCGTCACCGGCTCCATAAAGAACTCATAATTCAATCTTAAAATGTGGCACATTCCTTGACTCACTCAGGTACAACAACAGCATATGACCTAGCACAGGGGATTAAACTTCCTCTTGGAGGTTTGTTCATCTATAAAAGGGGATTCATAGAGCACAAGCCTTCCAAGGTTCTAAGAAGGATTAAATGCAATGTGCCTGAAAGAGTGTCTGATATCCAGTGAGCACTGTGTAAGGGTTTTATAATTAATGTTATTCCCCTACTGGGCTACTATCTCTCCAAAAAGTCAGGCCTGGGCTTGATGTTATCTGTGGCCTCCAAATGTGACAGTACTGACAGAATAAATCTTTGCTCTTGGCCAGCTGACAACTGGTCACAACCTGGCTCACAGCTTTCAACTCTACTTGACCCAGGAAGCCTCCATTGGAGCAGCAGATCCTCCAACCCATCTATTTCTTTTTTTCCGGGGTCTCCAAATTCTACTCACACACTTTGGGTTACTCTTTTTACAATACTAATTTGAGCAAGTCACCTCTCAGACCCACAGACCTGACTGAAGCCCCCAGGTCCTTTCCGCAGCAGTATAACGCCCACCTTTTCTGGCTGTCTAGTCTTTACATATCACCCATTTGGCACCAACCCTGCAGCTAAATCAATCTTTCACTAAAATAACCCCCAGAAAGGCAAGGACAACACACTGTTTTAAAAAAGAATACAAGAAACACATGAATAAATTCTCATTGTACGAACAAAAAAGAACAAGAGAAGGAAAAACAAACTCCAGAAATATAGAAAGTATGTATGCTGCCCATACTCCATATCCGCACACATTCCCCTTCCCGGAGGCAGCTGCTGCCATCAGTTCAGTGTCTTCTTCCAGACCTTTCTATGCTCTTGGAAGCATACAGTCATTTTGCCTCACATGGTATTTTTTACAGAAATGGAATCATTTTGGAGTTTTGGGCTGAAGTGTGGTTTTTGTTGTTGTTTTTGAGACAGAGTCTCACCCTGTTGCCCAGGCTGGAGTGCAATGGCACAGTTTCTGCTCACTGCAACCTCCTCCTCCCAGGTTCAAGCGATTCTCCCTGCCTCAGCCTCCTGAGTAGCTGGGACTGCAGGTGCACACCACCACGCCCAGCTAATTTTCTTATTTTTAGTATAGACAGGGTTTCACTATGTTGGCTAGGTTGGTCTCAAATTCCTGACCTCAGGCAATCTGCCAGCCCCGGCTTCCCGAAGTGCTGGGATTACAGGCATGGGCCACCGTGCCCAGCCACAGTGGCTTTTTTCATGTAATAATTTGTCTTGGAGGCCTCTTCTAAATTGCAGAACATTTTATAGGATGGTTTTTAATAGTTCTTTTTCTTATTGATGGACACTGAGGTTGTTTCCAAACTAAATGATGATTCCATTTGAGCACATTTTCTATCATATTAAATTATTATCTGAAAAATATGGATTTAAATAAAAATAAGAAAGAAGAACATGAATTCTGGTTTTGTTGGTGTTCAGTGTTTTTGTTTCTATAGGTGTAGATAATAAAAATCATATTCCTGTATTTGTTTCCATATATTTAAATAGTATTATAATTAAAAATCATTTTTCATGTAAGCCTTGTGACCTGGGCCAGGTGTTTTAGTTGTATATTGCTGTGTAACAAATGATCTCAGAACTTCATGGCTTAAAACAGCAAACACTGAAGCCAGGTGCAGTGGCACACACCTGTATTCCCAGCAACTTGGGAGGCTGAGGCACGAGGATTACTTGAGCCTGGGAGTTCCAGGCTGCAGTGCGCCATGACTGTGTCTGAGAATGGCCCCTGGACTATAGCCTGGGCAACATACCAGGACCCTGTCTCTAAAAATAAAGATAAAAGTAAAAACAGCACACATTCATTATCTCACAGTTTCTGTGTGTCAACTCAGCTGAGTCCTCTAGGTCACGGTGTCACAAGCATAATCACTTGTGAGCCAGGGTTGCAATCATCACAAGGCTCGGCTGGGAGAATCCACTTCCAAACTCACTCATTATTGGCAAGCCCAGGGTTCTCACTGGCTGTTGGCCAGAGACATGAGTTCCTTGTCATGTGGACCTTTTCATAGAGCTACTCCCAACATGGTAACTGGCTTCATTCACAGAGAGGGCTTAGAGAAGGTTGTAGACTGAATACTTGTGTCTCCTCAAAATTCACATACTGAAACTGTACTCCCTAAAGTAATGGTGTTTGCAGGTGGGGTCTTTGGGAGGTAATTAGGATTAAAGGAGGTTACGAGGGTGGAGCCCTCACAAAGAAGACTGGTATCCTTAGAAGAATCCTTAGAGAACTTGCTTCCTATCTCTGCTATGTGAGGACTCAGTGAGAAGGCTGTTATCTATGAACTAGGAAGCAGGCCATTGCTAGACACCTGTGGTACCTTGACCTTGGTCTTCCCATCCTCCACAACTCTAAGAAATAAATGTTTGTTATTTAAGTCACCTAGTTTATGATATTTTGTTATAGCAGCTCAAGCTAAGACAGCATGCAAGAGGAACGGAGGGACAGTAAGATGGCATTCATAGTCTTTTTTAACCTAATTTCAGAAGTGACATTCTATCACTTTGACCATATTCTGTTCATTTAAAGCAAGATCAGCCCTCATTCACAGGGAAGCTGTTACGGAGGAGGGATCCCTGGGAGCCTTCTTAATGACTACATCCTACAACTCACTTGGCCTCTCTACCGCAGTTTTGTCATCTATAAACATCAACCCTATAAAAGACATTGTGAGAATCTAAGATGCTTAGAACATTCCCTGGTACAGGATGAGCATGAGAGAAAATTAGTGTGGATACAAAAATAATGCAAATACATAGACCTATTCTTAGTACACAGTACTAAGTCCACGATGCTTGTTTAAGAAATGCTTGAATTAGGAGTACTTGACTATAGGAGTTTGAGGCCAGCCTGGGTAACAGTGAGGCCCCTTCTCTACAAAAAATAAAAAAGTAGCAAGGCATGGTAGCACGTACCTATAGTCCCAACTACTCAGGAAGATCCTTCGAGCCTGGGAGGTCGAGGCTGCAGTCAGCCATGATCCAGCCACTGCACTAATCCTAGACAACAGAGTGAGACCCTGTCGTAAAAAAAAGAAAAAACTTGAATTAAGTGACCCACAATTATTCAAAAGAAGTTTGAGCATTTGGAAATTACCCCAGAAACAGATGAAGTTAAAAGTTCTACTATAATTACCAGGGGGCCTTACATCACCTCCAGATTTCCCACACGCTTCCCCTGATGAGGAATTTCCATGTGGCAAGCTCCAGTGCATACTTGAGTCATCTCTAAATATCCAACCACAATTTGCTCTGCAAATGCACCCCATTTGCCTGATTGCAGAAGTTGCCTGATTTGCAAAACCACACAATTTGTAACTTACAGAAAAAAGGGCAAGAGCTTGTCTGCCTAACTGGAGCATTTCTTATTGTGCTCAGCAGTTTAGTAAGATTAGGAACTCACCTGTGAGGTGTTTTTTTTTTTTAAAGACTTACCTTGCTATTTTAGGGAAAGAAAAGGCTACTCAGTATAACCCCAGTCTTTCAAGCTTAGCACAGAGCAAGCAGATGGGTTAAGGAGAGGTGTCCTGCTTGACATATACAATCTGGGATTCAGTGGGTGGGCAAATGAGGCCAACCTCTCATACAGCAGATGTGGTAAATGAGTCATGAATCAGGAGGTAACAAAAGGCTGGACTCTGCTCCCCCAGGCCACAGACATTCACTAAACAGGCCGGGAAAGAGCAGCAACACTCCGAAGGGTAAATAATCCTCGCAACAACTCAACTCAGCACACATTTTGAGTGCACGCTAAATGTGACCTCTGAGCTGACTGCTCTCTGAAAGAAGAGGCTCTAGCTCACAGTGCAAAGGTCACCTTTCTTTGTTTCAAAAACCACAAGGAAGGAAGAAGAAAGGCGGACTGGAAAGACCAGCCTGGTCACCTACGTGGCTCACGTAGCAGGCCTGTCCACTCTCCTCCCCTGCCTTCAGCAACTGCCCAGTTTCTTTGTTTTGCTTTTGTTTTTTAATTACCCTGATTGACTTCATCAGGTGTGCAATGATGTGAAGGAGGAAGAAAGAAGACATTTCTCTATAACAGGGGAGGCATCTGCCAGGGTAAGAGTGGATGGGTTTGTTGTATTTTTAGAAAAGTAAACCAAATTCTCTCTGCAGAGAATTGCTTTTCCTGTTCTTTATTTCAACACCTCCCAAACCAAATTGCTTTCTAAATGACTGGGGCCTATCTAGCTGGAACATTGAAAGCTCATGTCAATGGGGCAAGCATGAGGACTCCAGTGTCCCAATGAGAGCTAGTTAGAAGTGCTGGGAATGAGGGTCATCACACAGAGAGGCCGGAAGTGGAAGGAAAGAAAATACATTCCAGTAATAAATTCCAAATGCTTTGATTTTAAACTAAGAATGAAAACGATTACGTTTTCTCCAGTAACAGTAAAACTGTGGGTGATTTTTGTGTCATCACTTATGTTTTGTGTCATAAAAAGATGAAAATGAAATAAATAGAATATGATTTAATTTTTCTCTCAAGACCAGCTAAGGAAAGAGTTTATGTAAAGTTTGCCCACAAAATTCAGCACTTTATTATAGGCTGAACAACTGTTTTCTATCTCTGTTGAGTGTGCTAATCTTAACTCTTCAACCAGACTACAAGTAGGAGTCAGGCATAATTCAGAAGAAGGGCTCCAAGCGGGTTCCCACATTCTCAGCTGTGAGACCTTGAGTAAAGTAATCCGTGTCTCACTTTCCTCAACTGCAAAATGGGGATAACAGTAGTATTCATCATATAGAGTTATGAGAAATACTTAAAACTATCCATGCCCAACATACAGTGCGGACTCAATAAACATTAGGTATTATTTTATGCTCCCCACCTATCCAAAAACTCAGGTTCAGCCATGAGCTTTCAAAAACCTACAAAACCTAGTGTTGTTACTTACGTGTTCTTAAAAAAAAACAAAACCCTACAGTGGTTGACCCCTATCATTGAGGTAAATGTCTTAGTAAGCCAGTTGAGGCTCCCCTTGTGCTAACCCCACGCCCCTACACTCCCATTATGTCCCCTTCAAGTCCCAATGCAATCCCAGAATACCTCCTTTCACTCTGTACTTTTCAGCTCCTGCTACAATGCCTTCCCATCTCGCGGTCCCTGAGATCCGTCCTCTCCCAGGGTTATCGGGCCTCGCTCTCTTACTAGAACGTAAACTGCATAGGAACCATTCTCTGAGCTCCAACAGTAGCGGGCACGTGATAAATGCTCCGGAAACATTTACTGAATCATTGAATATCTATACCTACTAAGTTTTTTCAAGATTTTTACCAAATTCCACGCATTTAGTCTTTCTATGGAAGCCCTTTATAAACTTTATTTCTTCTGGGCTCTAACGCCATATTTCTTTGACAAGTTTTACTCATTCATATTAAGCATCCAATAATAGTTTTAAAAGATAACAACTAACGTTTAAACAGTGCTTATGATGGGCAAGGTTGATTTTTCTGTTTGTTTGAGATGGAGTCTCTGCGTAGTTTTAAGAGCTTGACATATATCAAACTCATTACTCCTCACTGCCCCCCCATAAGATAGGTATTGTTTTTATTCCACTTTTACAGTTGGAGGAAACCACTTTTCACACATTCCTAACAGTTGGTCCTTACCTCTGTGTCTCCTACAAATATCCGCCACCTAGGGTAACCCTTTCCCCAATTCCAGAGTCACCGGCTCAAGCAAAGTTTGCAGAAAAACAGTTTAACTCGGAGTACACAGCTGAACATGCGGTTCACTCCGGGCTACCCTGCCCTCGCTAGCGCTTCTGATGGGCGCACAGGCTGGCCTAGCCGCGCAACAAACACTCGGACTTCTGCCAGCTCTCTACCAAAAGGACGCAGCGCCTTATACTGGAGGCTCACCCACTGTCTTCAGAGACCTCACGACCCAACCCACATTTCTGGCATTCCGAGATGATCTCGAACTCTCAGCCAATGCTGTCCATGAAATGCCTCCTCCTCCTGCTCTACAAGCCAGGGGCGCTCAATTCAATGAAGCCTCCTTCAGGTCCGTTGGGAAAGGAATAAAGGGAGCTTCCTTCCTTCCCACCGCCCCCCTCCCCCGCCTTTACTCAAACCCACCATTAACTGTACAAAACTAGGTCCTGTGCCCACTGCAGACCCAACTCGAGCCCCTCGCCCTGCTCCCACCCAAAGCTTCTCGTCCTGACTCCGAACACAGAACCCAGGAGGCAGCGTCGCCCTCCTCTCTTGCGCGCTGGTGAGTCAACCCCAACAGACACCTCTCGGTTTTTTCCGACCAGTGCAGGGGCGCCCGCGCCCCGCCCCTGCCCGCCCGCGTCCGGTCCCACCCACCATCCACGCTCCCGCCCTGCCAGAAGTTGCCCTTCTCGTCTGAGCCGAGGGACGAGTCAGCCAGGCACCCCGGGGTGTGGCTAAAGGACTTCGGCGACGCCTTCCCGAGGGTGGCCCCCTCCCCAATCTGGAAAACACAACCCCCCGAGGCTGTGGCGATCTAGGCATGCTCACTGGCGCAGGCCCGGCCCGCAGCCTAAGCAGGAAGCGCCGGCGCTAGGCGGCCCCCTGCGCTGCCAGCTGGAGCCGGGCGGAGCCAGCGCCCCGGCGCAGGGTGGCTCTGCCAGTCCCCGCGCGCCTGGGCGGCCGCACACGTGTCCAGGCGTCACGTCCGCGCGCGCCCCCGGGGCTTGCGTCAGCGGCCGCTCCAGAAGCTGGTGGGCCAGGGATCTTCGCGCACCGCTGGGGTTCGGGGTTCGGGGCCCGGGACGCCGCGCCGGGAGAAGGGCACCGCGCGGGGTCCGACGCGGAGGCGTGTTCGGAACTGCGGAGGCGCGTTCGGAACTCCGGGGGCTGCGGAGTGCATCCGCGTGGTCCAACCCTCCGCCTCCCGGGCGCCAAGCGTCTCCGCCGCGCGGACCTGGGCTGGGCGCCGTGGCGTTGCCTCCGAGCTCTCTGCCCGCGGGGCGCGCACCGCCTTGACCTGGGCGGCCCCGCGGCAGGCAGGCGCCCGCAGTTCCATGGTTGGTTCGGAGCGCGATGAGCCGCCCGTCCTCCACCGGCCCCAGCGCTAATAAACCGTGCAGCAAGCAGCCGCCGCCGCAGCCCCAGCACACTCCGTCCCCGGCTGCGCCCCCGGCCGCCGCCACCATCTCGGCTGCGGGCCCCGGCTCGTCCGCGGTGCCCGCCGCGGCGGCGGTGATCTCGGGCCCCGGCGGTGGCGGCGGGGCCGGCCCGGTGTCCCCGCAGCACCACGAGCTGACCTCGCTCTTTGAGTGTCCGGTCTGCTTTGACTATGTCCTGCCTCCTATCCTGCAGTGCCAGGCTGGGCACCTGGTGTGTAACCAATGCCGCCAGAAGTTGAGCTGCTGCCCGACGTGCAGGGGCGCCCTGACGCCCAGCATCAGGAACCTGGCTATGGAGAAGGTGGCCTCAGCAGTCCTGTTTCCCTGTAAGGTAAGTCCAGGGACAGCCCGCGCACCTCCGCCGGTGACCTCAGGGACTCCGGTATTCTGCAACCCACTCGCAGGCCCAGAGAGGCGGTCAGCATCTCTCCTAAAAAAAAAAAAAAAAAAAAAAATGTTTACACTTCGTTCACCCTCCCTCAAGCCCACTTTGAAAGTAGTAGCTCTGGGTTGAAATTTACCGAGTACTGACCCCAGATTAATTGGCATTCGCTGGTCTTTAGAACATTTTCACTCACCCGCCCCAATGCCCGAGTCCTCTGCAGATGTGTATTCGGGTACGCTCGGTAGGGATGGGCCGCACCACTAAAACTTGGACCGAGAAACTGTGGGGATTGAGGAGGGAGGAAACAGGCAAGCTAAACACACCCTTTACCAGCACTCGGCTTGGCTGAATTGATACTGGAGCCCTGCACCCCGCATCTACCTTCTGCGCACCCCTGACACGTGGGAGTTCTCGAGAGTGTAGCTAAAAAAAGGACCCCTAGAGCCTGTTTTCCTCCAGCTACAAGAAAACCCTGCAAGCCACGCCTTTTTCTCTCCTAGCCTTCCAAAGACTGGGAAGGACTGAGGAGTTGTGTGGCTGCGTTTTTGTATTAAGTGGGGTGAAAACAGTCAATCAAGAAATTAACAGGGCACTCAAGAGCTGTTGTTTGAGTTGTTGAAAGCTCATCACTTCATTTTTTATTTAATGTAAAAAGTTTTCAGTGCCCTTGTGAAAAATGCAAACCATTAAGACAAGAAGTAAAATGAAAGGCCAGGACCTGTCCCGTCCTTTCCCTCCATTGTTAGGTTTAATGTGTATCTTTTTAAACTATATATACACACATACACCCTCGCAGCTAAACATAGAATCATAGATGTCAGTGTATGTCAGGGAGGTTTTTTTTAATACCCACACAGAGATACAAGTTTTTCTCCAGAAATGGCATCTGCAACTTGCTGTTTTAAAATTCATATTATCACACATATTTCTCTATGTCTGAAACCCAGTCGACTTCATTGTATTTTAAATGGCTGCATGGTATTGCATTGTGTGATCATGTTAGAACATTTGTTTATCTGCAGCTATTACGTGGAAACCTTCAGGAGCAATTTCACAGACATACTTGTCTACATTACTTCATTAAAATCTGGAAAGTTCATTTTCTGAAATTAGAAGTGGAAATAATGTCATTAATACTTTCCAGTTTTTTTGTACAAGTAACTTGTTCTGCCTCTTGGGCCATTTAGGCTGTCTTGCGTTTCTCCTTGGTGCTGCTTATTTATAGGACAAGAGCTCATTTTTAAATTAAAAATAATCCACCAGAGAATTCAGGCTTGGGGCTCAGGTCAGTAAATGAGTGATTTAATTTGGTCTGCTGCCTTGCCACAAATCAAGTTTAAAATAGCATATTTAAATAAGGGTTTGAATCAGTGTTTGGACTGTGGTGTTTCAGGCAGCCTTAATAAATTGCTTTCAACCTCTCCTCATATAATGCTCAGTAATCCACTCAGCCCAGTTTCTCAAAGTTTAAAGTATTTGCATAGTTGTCTTAGGGTTGTGAAAAAGGTGACACACTAGTGGTTGGAAAAGGTTTGGTGGTAGTTAACATAGAGTGGCTATTTGATGTCTGAGACATATTGTAGGGGTGGGGGATGCCCCACAGGATTTCTGGGGAGTCATTTTCTCACCCCTTTACTTTCCCTTAAACCTGCAGTGGCTAATAGAAAAAATGGCTTTAGGTGAGTTATAGTTCACAAATGAGCATTTGGTATTAGTCAGTAATCTATCATTTGTTTTTAAAACACAACCTCATAATAGAATCATGCTGTTCCCAAGAGAAGGGGAAGGAAACAGTTATGCTATAAGGAGCATGGAGTTTCACTTTCAGGATCTAGAACTCTGGTTCCTATGAAAGCGTATGTTCTTTCCTAACGTGTGACAGGCTAGTGAAATCAATCCTGAAGAGTAGTTCTGGGAATCAGGGATTCTCAGCCTTTCTGTACATGTCAGTAACTTTCTGAGTCTCTATAAGAATGCACTTGGGAAAAGCCATGACTTTGCAAGCTGAAATGTAAAAGGGTCAACCATTCTCCTACAGACCAGGAACCAAGCTTAGAATGTGATCTTGGGGATGCTTTTGTGTGTGTATGTGTGTGAGTTGTATAAAGCTGAAGTGTGCATGCCTCACCTTTGGTTGATCAATAATCGAAACTATTGGCAGGCAGCTCAGCCAGTTAGTCTAGATAAACCAAACTTGAATGTATACATAGGCCCAGCGACCAACCAAGATGTGTTAGCCGTAGAGGATGAGAAACAACTGTCAGTGGTAAGGCCGGCGTCAAACTTAAAACAAGGTAGGTCTGTTTTCCTAGCCCTTTGGCCTACAGTTTGAGGCTCCTAGAAATTATGAGGACTGCCTTTTCACTGTCCCCACCTGCTCTCAGAATCTCTCATGGGCTGGCTCATGTGAAAAAAAAACAATGTTGAATTAAGGACCAGAGCCCACATCTCAAGAGCTGCCTGGCACTGCCACTGTTTGCCTGAAAGACCACCTCTTGGGGCCTTGATTTCCTCATCTGTAAATGAGAGATGAGACTGCTTGACTTCTGAAAACCTGTAGCTTCTAGCGTTCCGTGAAAAGAAGAGAGTCTATCTGGATGTTATTGGACGCTCTCTGTCTGCCAACTGCTTCGTAGGGGTCAGCTTTTATTAGTTGGCCTTTTTTTTTTTTTTTTTTTTTTTGCAGATGAGGAAACTCATGCCTACAGAGTGGTTAAGTGTGAAGTGACTTGTCAAATCACACAGCTAGTAAGTGGACCAGTCCATGCACCTGCATCTCAAAGGCACAGATCTTTTGTCCTACGCCTTACTACGTAGGGATTTCGAATCTGAGTGTATACTCCAACATTCTGAATCATAACTCAAGGTTGACACCAGTAACGAAACCATCTGGTTCGATGAGTTCACCAGATGGGCCTCTGATGGGACCATCCCAAAATGACAACATACATACTCACTATGAAATTCATTGGCAGGAATTTTGTAGGGTATGTCGGGTAGGAAGATGCGGGGGGTGGGTGCGGCGGGGACCTACAAACCTAGTATTTTGTGGAATATCATCACATCTTTAGACTGCTTCAGTTAGCCAAAAAATGGATATATTGCCAATAGCTACCCTACTTAGGTGTAGGGTAATTAATTAAAGCCTAGAGTTCGGCCAGCAGCTTTGATAACAGGGAACCAGGTGCATTATTAGTTCAGATCTTTGGGTGGTGTCTCATGCCTGTAATCCCAGCACTTTGGGAGGCTGAGGCAGGCCGATCACCTGACGTCAGGAGTTTGAGACCAGCCTGGACAACATGGTGAAACCTCCTCTCTACTAAAAATACAAAAATTAGCAGGCGTGGTGGCGGGCACCTGTAATCCCAGCTATTCAGGAGGCTGAGGCAGGGGAATCACTTGAACCCAGGAGGCAGAAGTTGCAGTTAGGGCCTAACAGAGTTCCGAGATCGTGCCACTGCATTCCAGCCTAGGTGACTGAGCAAGACTCTATCTCAAATTTAAAAAAAAGATATGTCTAATAGTTTATGGCTTTCTTCCACTTGGGGTATTTATTTAATCCATTCTATGGCTTGTTCCATGCCTGAAAACTTTTGACATCCTGTTCTCGGACTTAAAATCACCCCTTCAGTGTGTGGGTTTAGGGGGAGAAG